GGGGCACAGCGCGGGCTAACCGTGTGTCTGTGCCGCAGGTATTACAACAAGCTGGTGAGGAGCCTGCTGGAGTGCGACGAGGACACGGTGAGCACCATCAAGGACAGCCTGATGGAGAAGCTGGGGCCCAACGTGGCCAGCCTGTTCCACCTGCTGCAGAGCGACCACTGCGCCCAGGGCCACCCCCGCGCCGAGCTCCTGCGCAGGAGGCTCTCGGAGCCGCAGAAGCTGCAGCTGCTGCTCAGGAACCTGCGAGGTGAGGGCTCCGCGCCCGCCCGCGCCGCCCGAGCGGGGCTGGGCGAGCCGGGCGCGACCGAAGGGCTCTGAGGGCTCTGCTCCAGGAGCGCCGCACCCAAAGCCACGGGACTGTAGGTGTTCCAACCCCCCCAGGAGCTGGGTTTTGTTCCTTAGGGCTCGTTTAGGTAGTGTGTCTTTTCTGTTCCACTTCTGCACGGGTCTGCGTTCGGTGTCGCGGCTTTCGCGCCGGCCTGACGGCTCTGTCTCTTCTCTTGCCCACAAAATAATCTGTTCTCCCAGAAAAAAAAGAAATCACGCTCATAAGTAGATCCCTGCAGTGGTCAGGCCTTCAGGCACCAAAGCCGACGTTTGGAGGCTGAGTTTTGTCCCAAACCGTTGCGCTGACACCACCCAGGCCCGGAGATTCGGCGCCGAGGGGAGGAGCCGCTCCTCTCCTGCAGGTGCCGGGAGATGCACTAAAAACTCTCGCACGTCCCCAAAAATATCCGTGGAATCCATGTCATGAATCTGTGCTGGCCATGGACGAACATGGATGTCACGTTCCTGGTCCTGTAGTGTCACCCTCAGTCCTAATCCTTCCAGCAGAGTGCCGTGAGCACGTTTAAGTCGGGATTTACCGAACTCCTGCGTGGTTTAGTCACCAGGACCTGGCACCGGGGTGCAAAACGAGCTCAAACCACCCCAAAAAGCCCAACAGCGGGAGAGGGACGTGTTCTACCTGTGGCTGGAGCTGGTCAGGAGGTCCCGTAATCGTGCGTTGTATTTCACAGCTCACATCTCTGTACTGTATTTAATGCCTGAAGCTTTAAACCAAGCCTAACAGAAACAAAGCCTGTCTTAAGATTAGAGTATTAAAGGCCTTGCTCTAACAGTGGTATAAATAGTGCTAAAATCTCTCTGTACTGTACATAAACTCCACCAGAGTCTGCCTCAAAGGAGCAGAACAGAATAACTTTATTGCCTAAACTGAGTTTTGTAAGTCAGCTCTTTCTTTATTATTATTGTTGTTGTCATTATTATTATTATTATTATTATTATTATTATTATTATTATTATTATTATTATTATTATTATTGCTTTCTTTTTCCTGGAAGCAGCACCTCTGTCATAGTCAGGAGTTCACATTCCACTCTGTGGCCTTCTTACAAAGGAAGAGGGGAAAAGTTTGGGATGGGAATCGCAGGACCGGGAACAGCCTTTCAGAGCTAAGATTGAGGCAAAATCCATAAAATCCCAAGTTCAGGCTGGTCAGTCCCCACAGGGCTGCCAGGCAATGCACTTAGAGCCAAGGCAGAGCTGCTGGGAATTCCGGAATTGTCAGATCCTTTGGGAATCTCACGGGGCAAAACTCCCCACAGGATTTCTGGGGAAAGGCTGGGAAAATCCATCATCCTCTGAAGCTCCAGCAGGAAAGCTGAGGACACAATGCCTCCTCCTCCTCCTCCTCCTCCTCCTCCTCCTCCTCCTCCTCCTCCTCCTCCTCAGCGGGTTCTGGGAAGAGGAGCAGAGCTGGGACACCCCAAAGCCTCTCCCCACCACAGCCCGGCCCTGGTGAACCCAAAAATCCCCTTGGTGCTGTGGGATCCACCAGGCCAATCCCAAATCCATGCCTTGGAGTCCCTGCGGAGTGGGAGACTCTGCCTCAGAGCTGATAAAGGAGGGATCTCTTTTCCTCACGGAAACCTGAAGCAATTTAATTTTATTTTCTTTTTTGTGTTGTTCGGGAAACCACAAAGCCTTTAAACCAGACCTTGCTGCTAAAATATCAAAGCCAGATGCGGTGGCAACGTTTCAGATGTCGCTGTCTTCACGAAATGTAGCCCAGAAGTGCTGGCAGAGAATTGGAAGCAGCAAAAAAACGTTGCTGACATCGGCAGAGGGTCGGAATTTGCAATTTTTTTTGGGATACTCCAAACAGAGCCACGCAGGGCAAGGAAGATGCAAAGTTGCTCCTTCCTGAATCAGGCAGGGATTGAGATGCCGACACAAAGAAGTTCTGAGAGGCGAAAACCAAAAGCCTCTGGAATATCCCGACCCAAAAATTGGGATTATATTTAGGAATTGATCCCAGGAGCGCATCCCTGACTTCCCGCCCTGCGGCTGTTGGGAGCCCGGGGATCCCGCTGGGCTCTGTGCATCCCCTCCAAGCTTTTATTTGGGAATTGGCCACAAAAAGTCTTTCCCTGCCTCAGTGCTCCAAGCCCAGCTGGGAGGTTTGCTGGTGCTCCAGAGCTCCCACCGGGGGATCCCAAAGCTTCCGGACGTTTCCAAGGACGCCTGACCGGGAACGTTCCTCATGGGAAGCGGCTTCTCCAGCCACCCATTTCTCTGCAGCCCCAAAAAGGCGCCTAAAGCAGATTTGGGGGCTGGAGGCGCCTTGGGCCTCCCATTCCCATCTTTTTTTTGGGGTGCCATGATGAAATTTCCCTTTCCAGCAGCAATTCCAGCTTGGTCTCCTGAATAAGAGAGGGAAGAGGAGCGGGAGAGGATTGCCCCTGGAGGGTTTGCTGTGGTGGCCCAGGGACCTCCTCCTGTGCCATCCGTGTCCCAAAAAAAGCCACAATTCCCGATTTTTGAGCTGCTTTGAGGCCGCTGTGCTGGAGCAGGGAGGAATTTGGGGTGGCTCATCCCTTCCCTCGGGCGCTCCAATCTGGGAGGATCTGGGGGTTCCCATCCCTGGGGAAGGATGGGAAGGTTTGGATTTGGGTGGGATTGGGTGGAAAGGTTTGGATTTTTGGTGGGGAACGATCGCCACCCCCAAATCCAGGGATTTCACCCCGGAGTTCGTCCCCGCTTCGTTTTTTTGGCCTCACCAAAGGATTTTCTCTCGGGGCGGGGAGGGACTTCTCGGGAAGGTTTGCATGAGTCTCGTGGTTTGTTTGCACTTTAGACGTTGTCGTGCCATTATAAATTTGCATTATTTGTATTTATAATTTAAAGACACCTAGGAAAGGGAGAAAGGGAGAGAGTTGGGGGGTTGCGGGTTTTGATTTTTTGGTGGTTTTTTTTTTTTTTGCTGAATACTGGAATGAACAGTGAGCATATCTGGTATATGTCCTTATTTATTGTTTCCATGACATTTGTAAAGCTCCGTGTGTTCTTATAAAGGTTATTTGAAACGTATCATAGCGAGGAGAGAGAGGCAAGTTATTTTCTTTGCTTATTTTTATAATTAAAGATGCATAACGTAATGAGGCCTACGTTGGATTTTCTTCTGCCATGAAATAAAGAAGTCAAATTTAAAAGGTTTTGGTGTCCGAGTCTTTATTGGGATGTTGGTAGCAGCAGGATAAAAATTTTTATTTTTATAAAATAAAATTTTATAAAATTGTTTTCCTTGGGTTGAGCATCAGAGCTCTGCTGTCTCCTCTGGCTGTTTATGGCCCGGCTTGGTAATTGCATTTTATTTCTCTTATTTATTAAAGCAGAAAAACTTTTTAATGAACGCATCTGCAACGTCCCTGCCGGGAAATAAAACCCCTGGATTTGGGAATTCCACGTGCGTTTTATCCAGCCAGGAAATCTCCGATTTCCACTGGAACACCAAATACATTTCATAATCAGCAGAGGAAAAGTGGGATCTTAATTCCAACTATGCTCCAAAACTGCTGCGAAGTTTAAAAAATCATTTTCCCATCACACAAGAGTGTAAGAATAAATATAGGGAATGGAAGATGATTAATAAAATATTTTTTGTCCTAAAATTATGGAAAAGTTTGGATTGGAAGGACCTTAAAGCTGAGCTCATCCCACCCCCTGCACTGTGTTGCATTACTTATTTTTATTTTTATTTTTATTTTTATTTTTATTT